CACTCGCCAATACCTTCCCAGGAGGTCAACACCCGGCAAGGACAGAGGATTAGTACGATCCCACGCAGCATTATGTCCTCCGAAGAGCCCCGTTGGTCCTTCGAGATCAGGCACCCACATGTATGGAGACAGGACCATTCGGTGGATATCTCTGACATATACATCCGGATAAATAGCAAGCTGTCTGTCTAGGGTGGATGATCTTTGACTGGACGGAAAGAATCTACCCCGTGGACCAGACGAAGAGCACCGAGGTAAATTGGGAAGGAAGGTCCTAAGATCGCAGCTAATGAATACACGCAAGATCTAGACATGTGCCCAAAAGAAACACGTGTCACACTCCTACCGAAATCAGAAATCTCAAATTCGCTATAACAGAGATGATCTAGCTTGCTCCGACAAGAATTTCCCCACCATGAATCCATTGCCTTAGGTGACAATACCTCCTCCAGCCTCCAAGTCTTGCATTGCCGATTTTAGTTCGGTTAGATCAACCGCTAGGATGGCGCGGATGACGGCTGCCACCACTCTGACACTGGTTCTCATTGTCAGCGATTCATTCTGAGCTAAAGCAAAAACTGGCCTCACCAGTTCAACTTGAGCCGCTCAAAGGCATGTTCTAAGACGATTCCGAGGCGGCGGATGCTGTATTTTCGACCTGACGCTTTTTGACCGCTTCCATACTGGAGTCGCAGATATGTGTCTCACACCACCACCCTCCCTCGGCAGGAATGCCTGTGATCGGACGGGTCTCGACGGTCCTCTTACTGGAGTTGCAAATATGTGTGCCACACCACCACCGTTCCGTGTCTCCACCGCCTCCGCCTTGGTCTGGGTTGTTATTCCAGCTCTGAATAACAAGATGTGTGCCTAGAATGTGGTACTTACTGGGGGGAAATGGTAACGCGACTGCAGAAAGAGTCAACAGAAGTAGTGATAGAGGATGGTTAGAGAAACGCATAGTTGGCAAACGAACGTAAAGCCGGTAATCGATGTTTTCTTTATCTGGTAAGTGAAGGGGTGGCACGAGAATAATAAGCTGTGGTGAGGTGTTTTCAGAGGGCGCTGGAGTTCAGGTGCGATATCGTTGTTTATCTATCTCATATTGCTTCAAAGGAACTCTGCCTCGACAAGTGTTCAAGCATCAGCTATTCGTATCCATCATTCAGCTTTCAGCCTCTCGGCTGAAGCTAACTACTCTTATGCAGTCCATCCGGATGCTGAGATGGAAGTGATGCATCCCGAAGAAAAATCGGTTCCTGAAACATGTGAGCCAAGAGAATTGTCAAACAACTGGTTACAATTCTCTCGGTATGGAGGTCGGCAAGGGCCAGGAATAGCAGTGCAGCAGCCACTTCGACCGATACGAGGTCAACGTCTTAGCAAGCCCAGGGGCCCATTCTAACGAGGCGCATCGTCAAATTGTCCTCCGATGCCATCTCAAGAGAGCAAATTACGATTCGGCGGCTTTGGTCTATGGGCTATGTCAACCAGGAACATGCGGATCCCCTCGTCAATCCTAGGGCGAGCAGATCCGACGGACATCGTATTAGAGAAGATTCAAGTGGAGCGGCTCGATGCGATCTTCTTGGCAACGTTGCATGAGTTAGTGGTCTGACTCAGCGCCGCCGTGGTCAGCGCAGTCTTCATCGCTATAGCCGACCAGTCGGAGCAACGTCTCAAAGCCCAGCTTGTGCGATTGGAAATGCGGACGTCCGAAGTGGGGTTCTTTTGCAGAACTCGGTTGCGGCGATCGCGTTGCATTTCTGCCAGATTGCGGTGCTCCTTTAGGTGCACATGCTGACGTCGAAACTTCGAATGTTCAACGTTTACGTTACGCCTCCACAACGATTAATACACGTCATAAATACGTTGCCGATAAGTATAAGGATTCTATTCTGCAGATCGAGGGATTTGACTCCAAAAATACGAAATTCAACCTTTACATTTCTCATTGTACGGCGAAAAAGGACCGTTCAACATTCTTGATCTCCGCACCCCTTTTCGAAAGCAGAAGTAATTGTTACCGTGCAGGAAACCTCAAACTATAAATATCACAAAGCTGTATCTTAAGTTTTATAATCAGTTAATTACGAACGGGGGCGTTTTTGAATTTCCGCGAAGCTGCGTTTTTGGGCCTTGTCCATGTTTATATTTGGCTAAACTCTGCACATGGCTGGGTTACACCAACCGAGGTAGCGAGGTAAGTGCGTGGCACGACTAGATAGATCTATCTTCGATCCCTTGCCCTCTTCTTCTTGCCTCTAAATATAAGACTTGTACCCTTTTCTGTATCCTTCTAGATGAGATTCGCTAAACTCCAACTCGTCTCCTATCTTCACAGCAAGTCACGCTGCTAGCTACCCCGCCATCCCGAGCCATGGACGAGTCCCCAGGGAAGATGTATGCCTTGGCAACTGTGTTGACTGTCTTGGCAACCGTGGCCGTTACCCTACGCTTCTACGCTCGACGGATCACGAAGGTTTGTCCATCATGGGACGACTATCTAATAGTGCTTGCATTGGTAACGTTTCCCCTTGCAACCTTGCTGTCTGGGCCGGTGGACTTACAGACACTTTTTTTCGAAAGATCTCCACCATCGGTACAGGTGTTTGCATGTTCGTCGGTAAGTATCTCCAGCTAGGCAGATACCGCAACTTCGTTGATTTTAGATGTGCAGGCGCTGCAATTGGAAGCCTTGGTAGACATACCCAAGTCATGCCTGACGGCATGCCGATTTTCGATGGCCGCATGGAAGTCTTCTTTAAAGTATGTCCTGATGCTCCTAGGCTAGTCTCTGATAAATGCCGACCTAACCATTGCACAGATCATCTACATCTCGCAACTGACGCAGACGGTCACATTTGGACTTACAAAGATTGCCGTGCTTCTCTTCTATCGAAGGTAGCATGTCCCAACTGTCTCACAATGGAAGAGTAGAGCAGGCTGACCTGCGTACCAGAATCTTCGTACCGAGGACGTTTTCCATCATCTCGCTGGTCATGATTGGTCTAAACATTACATGGACCGTCGCTTTCTTTGCAGCCAATCTGCTACAGTGCTGGCCAATCTCCGGAAATTGGACTGGTTTGGATGCTGCTCCTGGCACTTGCATCGATACAACAATGATGTACTTGGCGCAGGCTTGGTCTGATGTCTTTACCGACATTGTGATCCTTTCGATGCCAATACCCTGGGTATGTAAGCTTCCTGTCACTCCGAATCGTGGCTGATCAAGGTCAGATCTGGAGACTTCAGATGGCTCCGATGCGAAAGTTCTTCGTGGTCCTCATGTTGCAACTAGGAGCACTGTGAGTCTGATCCAAAATACTTACGGAATCTTGCTCACGAGTCTTAGTGTTGTTTGCGCCGGGGTTGCAAAGCTGGTGGTCTTCCACAGAATCACTTATGGTACGCATTTCTCATCACCGCCCGTACTTTTCAGGTAGCACTCTCGTCGCATACTGACCCCTATACACTTCTAGATACCGCCGTAGGAGACGAAGATCTAACATGTACGTATTGCATGCGCCCTAGCAGACCGGGGCTTCGCTTACCATAGGAAAGATCTACTCACGCCAACCGTATACTGGCCCATGGTCGAATCGTCACTAGGTATTGTAGGCGCCTGCCTCCCTTTGCTCCGGCCCGTCTTCACTGATTCTCCCGCCAAAAGTATATTCTCAAGTCTACGAGCCATGATATCGCTCTCGTCCCTTCGCAGCAATGATGCTAGGAAGCCATCTGGGGACTACGATAAATTAGAGGCGGGAAATGTTGGCGCTTCTCAAAATAGTCTTGTCGACGGAGCGCAGGTGGTGTAAAGAACAAATCTTATTCTGTGGCGCTGGGCTTTCCCAGATCGAAAACGCTTTTTCATTAATAGAGATTTGTGGTTCTTTGAAGGATGCTACCATTTGTCGCTCGTCTACCACCAACCTTGCCACAGTACATATTGTAAAAATTGAGTTTTTCCGAGCTTCCTTCTGTTCAAGGCTTTCGACCTATTTTCTGCATTGTTTTAGTTTCAGCCACGATGTAGCATGTGCGAGAACCCTCCTGTGACATGTCTTGGTCTCCTCCCGCACTCCAAGAATTAAAGATGCAAAAGGCGGGACCGGATGCAAGCTTACCAGTACGCTGGTGGAGCCGTAAAAATGGTGTCATCTTGATAATCATACACCCTTCTCCGACCGATGGTCAGTTCAGCGGTTCAGCAATGCATGGTCCAAGTGAAGATTGACGAGTCTCCCACGACGGCATGCTGGTACAACTTGTAGGGCGCAGCGGTAGCGTCAGCTTCTGTGTGTGCTAACCGTGGTTATGAAGGAGTCTCGATTGGTGCAAGTACGACCCTGGCAAGAAAATTAATCTTGAAACACAGGAATCGATCTGAGCGTCGGATTAAAGCTGGGACCGGACTGTCTGTAAGATCTGTTAGGCCAGTCCAAGGCTTTGTACCCGTGGATGCGGCGTGACTTCTGCTAATGTCCACCTAAATAACGACGTGCTTGACTCTTCAAGTAAGGAGGCGAGGGTGAAGTCACAAGGCCTTGCCTTTTGAAAAAGGTATGATTTAAGAGCGGGATTCCACAATATTCGACCGTTAGGAAGTAAGGGCGCTTTCCAAGTCTTACGAAAGAACACAAATCTAGTCTAGGAGAGTACTTGCGCAGTGCAACGGTTTCTTTCATTAGAACGTCTTGTAGTCTATCATGATGTTTCCTCAAAAAGAGTGTGCGGGACCTTTGCGCCTCGTTCAGCCCCAGAAGGACCGTGCCTACATGAAAACTCGGTGAAATAGAATTGCATCAAGGTCGGCAAGCTATGGATCATGATCTCTCCCAATTCGACAATACTCCGCTCATCGTGCTCCTTCCTTGCCGACGCGGAGGGCACTCTTCAATCACTGCAATCCCGGTCCAAGCCCCAATGTTAAAATTCTGCACAACGGGACCTTTGCGACATCGCTGCGAGCAAGATTGCAATTGCCGCACTAGTCACTGCCACATGTCCTTGATCGACTCTTCGGGCGCAGTGGAAAGAGATTCGAGATATCTCCGAGTGGCCATGTGTCCATTTTCCTTCGCGAGTTGTAGAGCTCGTTCATACTCAGGGCCATGGAACTTGGCGCTAACGTTGAAAAGCAGCTTCAGCATGTCGATACGGCCATGTTCGGCGGCCCCCTCAAGAGCAGTCCTTCCATGCACTCTGGCAGCTGGTGCATTGACGTCGGCGCCGTTCTCCAGAAGTAGTTCCGCAATGCCGATGTAACCTCCAATTGCCGCAAGTTGTATGGCAGTTGCCCCTCCCCTCCACGCGGGCTGAGCGTTTACGAGCCCGCCGTTGTCTAATAGCATCTGTGCGATTTGAAAGCTACCTATCTCGGCTGCCCTCTGTAGCGGAGTGCGTTTGACTCCTTTCGTTGCAGGCCGATTCACATCGGCTCCAGCGTCAATTAGCAGCTGGACCTTTTGAATGTCTTTTGTGCCGATTGCTGCCAAAAGAGCCGTCTCTCTTCCGTATGGGAAAACTATAGAATATTGGACAATACTGTTGGGATTACCATTTCGATCCAGCAACGTCTGAAGTATCGCAAGACTTGTGGGGTTCGCCTCCTCGATCGCCGCCCCTAGTGAGTTACGTCTTAATGCATAGCTAAAGCGATCCAAACCCTCTCCTTCGGGGTCACCTATGCAGACACAAGTATTGACATCTATCTTCGCGTCGAGAAGACATTCAATGAGTAGGGAATCTGCTTTCCCGATCGCTGTTAAAAGAACGCCGCAACCATATCCGCGTTTCCCATGAGGATATACTCTGGTAAATTTTGTAAGAAGCGTCTCAAGCATCGGCATGCCCTGCGATAGAGCTTCAGACAGTGCCTCTGAATCATCTGGATCTGCACCGATAGAAAAAAGGTACTCAACCATTTCAATGTCACCATTTGTTACAGCTGCCTTCAGTGCGGTAGATTTCTTACCCAACTCACGGCTGTTAACATCTGCTCCAGCATCGAGCAAGAGCTGTAGTAACTTGGCATCTTTTCTCTCGACAGCAACTACGAGAGGCGCACGCCCAGGCTCAGAATCACCGACAGCGTTGGCATCGACACCCATAGCAATCAACTCTTCAATGATGGAGTGATTACCCCACTCGACGGCTGTTCTAAAAAAATGTCCACTAGCACAGGAAATGTCCACATCAGCGTCTAGAATCAACTGCACGAGCTTTTCATTCTTCTGCTGTAATGCTTCGAGAAGAACTATAATGTTGTTCCTAGCGTAGGAATTGTCATTGGCGCCGGCATTGAGTAGTATCAGAGCAGTTTCTTCATGCCCTCCACAAACTGCGGCCTGTAGAGCACCACCGAGGTCTATTCCTGTAACATTAAATCCGAGATTAAGCAGTTTCTGGACGATGGCGAGATTTCCTACTTCTGACGCAGCTACCAACGCAGATTTGAATCTCGATCCTTCGCAGACATGAGACCAAACACCCTTGTGCTCGAGTAAATCCATGATCTCGACATCTCCACATCTGATTGCTGCACCGAGCGGCGTCTGAATAACCTCAGAGATGGAACAGTCACCGTCAACATCCGCTCCCGCCTCAATCAGGACCCGGATCAGATCCTTGTTCTGACTTGTTATCGCGTTTGTAAGCGTTGCATGCGTCAAAGACACATGAGAGTGGAGAAGAAATTGTACTAGGCCAAGGTTTCCACGCTTTGCCGCCGTATTTAGCGTGGAGTCAAAACTTAGAGTAATGTCGTGAGCTGAATCCAAACATGCTTGGAAAATACTCATTACAGTCCTTGTGGCCATTTCGTTGTCGAATTTTTGTGTCACTTTTGTGGGTATCCCGGAACGCGCCAAGTCGAGAGGATTGGTCTTGGTGCAGAATTCGACGAGGAGTTCAATCACGTCCTGATCGCGTTCTTCGATGCGAGTTTCAAGTATCAGCTCGTCAACTTTGGCACCCGCATGAAGAAGCAAAGACACAAGCTCAACGGGTGTACGAGATCGCTCGTAGTATCTGTAGTCTGATTCGAAAGCGCATTGAAGTGCTCCGCATACATTTCTTGTACCAACAGTTTTGTTAACATCTGCTTTGGCACGCAGGAGAAGTCTCGTAATTTCAACACTCCTCATCATGGAAGACCGTTCTATTGGAGTGTATTTTTCCCCGCCAACATGGCAGACCAACTCATTAGGGTTCAATCCTTTCTCTAGGAGAATCTCGACAATGCGTGCGTCTTCCGCTTCGATAGCGGCCCGAAACAGATTTTCTGCAAAGGCTTCAGACTCTGGCCCCGAGGTGCTTAGAAGCTGTCGTAAAAGTCGCGTGTTCGTTTGGCGTTTTAGGTAGTCCATGATTTCTCCAATTGGAACACCATCTAGACCGGCAAAGTTGTTGGCTATTGCAAAGAGCAGATGAGTGAGCAGTCTAGGAGTAGCTGCATCTAAGCGGTAATTGTTTGGACTTGAAATCAGTCGCGCCTCCGGTTGATTCACACGCGCTGTACTGGGCAGCAAAGCTTCGAGCACTGCAGTAAGCGATTCAGAGACTCTTAGCACTACATGTTGAGCATCAAAACCTTGATGAAAGATATCTTGGTGATCCTCTAGCGATCGTGATGTTACCAAAGGAATCCCAAATCTGGGTCTTTTCGCATTTGTTGGGGTCAGTGGGAGATCGGCTGCATTCTAATTAGTCAAGGCTCATAGTGCGGCTTAGACTGACGTTATGTGGTAGGGTCTAAAGCTACGATTTTTTTTTTTGGAAAAGGAAATCTAACAAATAGCTTGTGAGACGTGCCTTGAGCGTGAAGGCCAGCTTCAAGCTGGAAGAAGGGAAGATCATGTATATACGTCCAGCGTTGGACAAGTTTCGTGACGTCTTCGATTGGGGAGAATGGAAAGTCATCGGGTCCTGTCAAATATGGGACGGGAGGTGTTGCATTCTGCAATGGGGAGAACCGAAAATCGTCCGTCTCCGTCCAAGGTGGTAGGGAGGATGTTGCGTTCTGCAATTGGGAGACCGGGAAATCATCCGTTCCCTCCCAAGGCTGCAAGGAGGAGGATAAGGTTTGCAACTGAGCGAACGTAAAGTTGTTTGTCCCCGTCCTGTGTGGCAAGGTGGGTGCGGCCTCTTGCAGCTCGGAGAAGACCGTTGAGTCTTCTGCTACGGGTGTGCGGATCTCAAAGCCGTCGGGAGTTCGCGGACTTGATGCTGAGAAAGTGGTTTTAGCTAAAAAGGTTCTCATTTGTCCAAGGGAAGGAAAATACCTGGAAGGAGTTGTCCGAAAGTTGTAGTGGACTCATGACGTCTAATTTGCCTCTGAACTCTCGCTTTGGGGATGACTTCATTATTGATGTAAACACTGCTATCTTTCCCTGCCCGTTTTCTCTCTGAAATCTTCCGTCCGACGCTTCTCCAGTCATCTTTCTTTCGATATTTACGCATGCACCAAATTTTGAAGTGGCTCTCATACTGCGATTTGCTTGACGGAAATTAGTATGAGTGATACCGGATTTGTTAAAGACTCAGACTTCTCTACCTTTTCACAAATCCATGGGATCTGGCCATGGTGTCCATGAGGCCTCCGCGGCCTTCAAGTTTGAGTTTATCTTTCACATACAGCGATTCAATTGTAGCCTTGTGACTGTCCCATTCAGGATCAGCCTTGTCACTGGTTGCCATGTCCGACGTAAGGCTGAGTCAGAATGAACACAACGAGGACTTTAAGTAGCTGTTTGACATTGTCGAAGAAGAGAATGCAAATGTGGGCGGCAACATTAAGTGTCTGATCTATCCCATCCGGTGGTCTCGGATTTCGGTTCTGGCCAATGAAGGATTTCATTGTCAGCCGGCGCTACCAAATTACAGCCGCACCGCGTTGTCAGCAGAGAGTCACGTACCCCGGTACGAATTGAGCGAAAGAGGAATTATGTGGACGCATGGTGATGTGGACGAACGCCTGAGGGGTGGAATTAGATGCAGCCTTCTGCGAGGCGAGTCAATACTTTGGAAGGCCAGACTGCGGGCAGACATCTAATAGGCGGCTGCTTGGGGTCACGTGTTTGCTCTTGCATCGACCCTCTGCTTTGAATGGTTGTGGACACAATCTGAAATCATCCGGCCCGGATCGCCAAGCCTGCCAGAATGACGATCTCCGGAAGATCCTTTTTCATTGGAGATGACCCAAATCTGTATGCATCTTACGTTGTTCTCCGAAAGACAGGGAAAGTCAGCCCCAATATTCTCTCTATCCCGAATCCGCCTCGCGGGGCTCTCAGTCCCAAATTTGGGTCGAGAGATGGGCGAATTACATTTTCATACCCCAAACTATAGGATTCTTACAAATTCATACCCCATCTTACATTTTCATACCCCAATGGGGTATGAATTTGTAAGATACCATTAACAGGGGTATGATTTTGTAAGATACCATTAATAGGGGTGTGATTTTGTAAGTTGCCATCTATAGGGCGGGTTGGTGTTAGGGATTATTCTTCCGAGGGCCCTGCGGGGCCCTGCGAGGCCCCTTAGGGGTGTCTGCAGCGTGAAGTGCAAACACCTCTATTTGACCCTTTAGCGGTAACTCGGGTTACTAACAATTAGGGTAGGTAGCCTGGAACACCTAAAATACCGTTCTAATGATTTACAGGTATAGGGATGTTTGTGGTATCTTACATTTTCATACCCTAAGAAATGGTAACTTACAAATTCATACCCCAAAGACTGGCAACTTTACAAATTCATACCCCATTTTTTTGGTGAGGGGTATGAAAATGTAAGATGGGGTATGAATTTGTAAGAATCTCATAGTTTGGGGTATGAATTTGTAATTTGCCCGTCGAGAGATTCTCCGTCCCAAATTTTAAGTCTCATAGCTCTATATCCCAAATCTGGGTTGGGAGATTCTTCGTCCCAAATCTTAAGCCTCATGGCTCTATGTCCCAAATCTGGGTCGGGGGAGTATATAGCCAGTCCTAAATATGTCCTCGCTGGAGAAGTCAGAGGGGCGCGACTGAACCTGAAAATGTCCTGGCCAATAGCTGCCATCATCGCTCTCGTGTCTCTGTTGGCAACTTGTGCTCCTGTCCTACTTGTCATCTGGCGGTTCGCCGAGCAGAAGAAACGAATCTCCAGTAGGTGTGCTTCGAGACTCTTTTTGGATCTCGAGCAATTCTGACCTGCATCATCTACCATAGACATTCTTCCTGACCCTCCTCCCTCATATTCGAGCGCCCATGCGCCCCACAGTCTGTGGTGGCGGTATACTATTCGTTCGGAGTCAAGACTGGAAGCGGTATTCGTTTCTCACGAGGCCCAACATGCTCTGGAACGGGCACTGCCAAATGACTGTAAGTAGTTTGTGGACAGCGTCCAAAGATTGCCTCTCATATTTGGACTTTCCATAGGCTCTAACGGGAACATCAATGCTTGAACCTAAGCATCATTCTCAAGATGGGCTCAGCGGGCAGTGACGCCGGAGTGTAGGAGGGTGTTGGTCTGGCATTCTGGTTTTTGCTGTAGCAAGGCCAAATGGACGGCTGAAAGACTGATGGAACGAGATTGCGTCTTCTCGCACACGTGACCCAGGGAGGTATGACATGATCTGCGTTGCCCATTCGCTTGCTTGTTCTTTCGTTTGTTCTCCTCCTTCCTTTCGACGAACACCCTTACGTGCTTTAAAACACAAAACGATTGGAGTTGGCGGATACTCTGCGTAGCGTTGCGCTAGGAACAGACGCGTTGGACCATGTTTCACCCTTTTCTCACTTACTGAGAATTGATCCAATCCAGAGTCTCTCCGCTGGTGGCAAACACCGAACTCTGTGACAGCTTAGGAGGAAAGCTAAGATCTTGCTGCCGTACGACAGACTCCTCATGCCTTTCAATAGCGAAGTAGAAGAGCAGCGAACTTTTACCTGGACTCTATCAGGAAAACCGAAAGGGCAGGTGGTTACACGTTTTCCCGGTTGATCTATTGGCGCTATGCACAAAATAACCTACTTTACATAACAACACTCCGAAGTCCTTAATTCACAATCTCTGGCTGCTCTTGTCATTAAGTTCCTTCAACACCACTTTCAAATATTACTCCCCTCTTTGCTGTGATCAGGGTACTTCTTCATCTCGGATTCTCGTTTCCAATCCACCCCCTAATTTATCAACAGACATCACCTTCCCTGGCTTGCAGCCCAAAAAAAGATGCCGGTCGTGAATGCTAAGCTCGAGCAGCAACTCGCAAGAGTCAATGGCGTAGTCATACCTTCGAAGCTCCCTGAAGGACAACAGCCATTGAAAGCGCTGAGAACCCGTCCTCGGTCTGACGGGAAATTGGATAGAGCTAGGGACAAGACATGTCCAATTTGCGGTCATACCAGCACAAGGCCGGAATATATTCGATCACACTTTGTGGCATGTGTGAAGATGAACGGAAACCCCACCAGAGCACGCTGGGACGATTATTTGAATTTCGTACCTCGTCCTGACCTGGTAAAGCGCAAGCATAGTGATGTAGACGAGAGGTGAGATACCTTTCAATGTCAATCTCTGGGTTTACTGGCGCTTTCTGATGTAATTCAGTGACGACACCACCGACAGTCCCCCTTCGAAGCGCACCGCTCGTGCTCCAACCACAAAAGAGCAGCGAGACGTAAGACAACGTCAATACCGCGAACGCCTTGCTGCTGTTAATGGCGTCGTGATCCCCTCGAGGCTAGCTCCAGGCGAGACCCCAACCCGAAGAAACTACGAGCCAAGCGCAAATCGCAAATACCAGTGTCCTATTTGCGGTGGATATTACGGAAGGAAGGAACATGTCCAGTCCCACTTTGCAGTCTGCGTGGAGACAAATGGCAATCCCACCGGCGCACGATGGGATGAGGCATGGAACGGTGCGCCGTCTCGTCCAGAACGGGCGAGTGCGAGTGCGAGTACGCAAGTCAGGTAAGAGAGTCCCCCACTCAGCTGATAGCTACTCGATCTGACCTAGGAATCAGCGAGGAGTCGCAAGACCATCAGATGCAAGATCTTCAGTCTGGAGATCATGAACTTAGTGATATTGGATACGATGGCCTCACTACGAACATGTCCCTGCTTAATGGCTACGAGCAAAATGAGCCTCAATCAACGTCTCCACCATCGAACAGCTTCGAACCTTACCATCCAAACATCGAAGACCTCGACCCGCAGCTTGTGTTTTCTTCCTCGGATGACTTGCAACCTTGCCACCCAACCGACCGCAAGGGAACTTTCACCGAACCCTACCATCCAGATCTCGAAAATCTTGACCCACAGCTTTGGTCTTCCCCCTCGGACGACTCGCAGCCGTACGACCCAAACCTCCGCATGGAAAAAATTTGACCAATAATGGAGCACTCCTCCTAAAGGTCCAAGAAGGCAGGAATGTATCGACTATGGTGAAGAGGCTTATACTACACGCCACCTCTAACTCCGGAGGACCTTAAAAGAACTGGAGTATCAGGGCATGCTTGACGCGAAATGGACGTGGCTTGTACATGTTGAGGAGGTGGGCATGGCTTTGACAAGGACCACGGTGCAGCGATCTCTGGTTGGACGGTCCAACGCGGTAGAGTGCTTGCGTTGTCGACATTTGTTGTAGAGTACTGTGAAACACCACTCTCAGACGTTCGCAAGTCTAGAGGTCACTACAGAGCGTACGTTTCCTATTCCTCATCGTGAAGCGGTCGCAGTACTTCAGAAGTACAGTTCCAGTATCCCGAAAAATGCGCCCGAGCCCTTCCCCAGAAACCGCCCCTACAAGTCCATCACATCTTCCGGCAAGGCGTCCGCATGCTCTACAAGCAGCGCTCTCGCTTGACTGCACTTAGGACAGCCAAAATTGATTGTCCCAACACGCTCCCTCTTCTCTCCGCGCAGATTTTCGTCAGGTCCGCCTTCTTGCCCTTCATCGCCTTTCACATGGACTCATCATGTTCCTGCCCATTGAGACGCGGTATGCAACTCAGTGTCTGAAGCGCCGCTGCTTGAAAAGCCACATTCGTGTCATCAGCAGTCTACAAAGTGAGGTTCATATTCGCCTTTGGGAATCCCTCACTACCTGCCGCAGCCCTTGGAGGTTTCAAATGGTTCTGCTTATAGGTGGGCATTAATGGATTGTGGGTGGGGGACGCGGCTGCGGCGAGGTAGAAAAGAACGGGAACGCATAATCACACTGCTCTTCAAAGCCTTTTTATTGATTTGGTGTTTATCTCAGCCGTAAGTTAGAATAGCTCGTGCCAATGCAAATGGTGACTCTCCTGTGCATCGTGTCTGTGATCTCCGCTGTCTCCTCGCTTCAATGGCAGTTCTTGGTGCTCACTGTATCTGCCACCAATTTCTCATTGCGGCAGACTCTGTATTGCATGGTCCACGCTCATATCTTGACCTGTTTATGATCCATCGTGCTCAAGCGCCACCGTCTGATCTCCAGCGACAACGCAAGATTTCCATATCTGTAACAGCACCAAGCATCTACGTTCGTATCTGTTCGCACAGACTGCCAGGCAGAGATCCAACGAGCTCCTCATTGATCTCGACCTTAGTCCCTTTCCAGCCCCAAGTACTTCCTATACTTCCTAAAAAGCTCCTTCTCCGAGTCGTCTTCAAGGCCAACCACCTTGACGACAACCTTGCGCTTTGTCTCGACGTCGACAACATTGTCGGTCGTGGCCTCCCCACTACTTCCCACGTTCTCATCGACTCCCGGTCTGTAACAAGGTCCGTATTCAGCCATTTCATCGCAGAAACTGCGGAGCGCTTCTTTGCGACAGCAGCCATGAGGGCAGAATAGATTTTCGACATTGAATACCAACGACTTTAGGTTTTTCATCTGAGATAAAAGCCGGTACTTCCATTTAAAACTGTTGCTTAGGCAGAAAAGGCTCCTGTCGTGGACTTCTTCTTTCATCAGTGTATGGCTCCATTGCCTTGACTTTCCGGCAGCTCTGGAGATCTTGATGTAGTAGAGCATATTGCCAGCGTCATTCAATGTCATGTGACTGGAGATGTGACGGAAATGGCGGGCGTAGCTTAACCAAAAATCATTCTCCTCTCCCATCTCCCAGTGCTCAACATAGGACAAACGCCACACATTCTTGCCAAACAGGACACTTGCCGCTTCCTCCTGGATACCTTTACTGACACCCAGAAGGGCAACGCTTGGCCAGTCTGTGGCGTACCTTATCCCCGCACATGAACGAAGATCTTGCTTCAGGTTGCACTCGACACCTAGGCGTCCGATGCACGGTTTTGCTGGTTTGCGCCAGCTTTCTTGAATCTGTTCTCTCTCGTCGATATTCGGATAAGGAATGATGTCCCCGTCGTAGATTAGGCAGTACCCGTAGATCATATCGCGAACCTCTGTTGGAAGCTTCTCGAATGCAGACATCTTGCTCTTGTGGTGAGTTGAGAGATTGAGGTGATTGGATTGAAATGCTGAACTCAATTTAGTACAGTGAGATTTGAGCAAGTGAGGTGGGACTACCTCAACACTGTAGAGTACCTCGTCAAGGATCCGCTGCAGGTGCAATGTAGCTATGTTGTGATGATTTGATGTGACCAGACAGGTGGACCTCTTGAGACTTATGGAATCAGTTGTGAATTGTGGATGAGATATGGAGGGGCAAGGTAGATGTTTTGGGTTCAGAAAGTGAGGTTCATGAGGGCGAGCACTAGCGCCAGGTCACGTGATGCCAAGCCGGAACAGTTCGATTTACTCCGAAGACATGTCAAGAGTTGCTCGTATCAACCCTATCAGCAAATCTATGCAGCATTACTGGGACAGATATCTCTCCCTTCTCTGTTGCAAGCTGGAAGCAACCAATGGTGCTATGTGTTGGAGACTAGCTTAGCTTTGCTAACATTGATCGCATGAAACCTCGATGTCCCTTGTCAGGTCTGGAGTCTAACAAATATTCTCCCCTAACGCCACATCATGTCCCATTTCAATCCACCTTCAAGCCCCAAGTTTTCCAGAAGAGCTTCTTTTCTTTGTCATTCTTCAGGCCAAGAACCTTGACATCGGTCCTTAGCTTGGTCTCCAAGTCGCGGCCTTGCTCTCGCTCTGACCTATACCACGGCCCGCTCGGTCCCAGAGATTCTACACAAATCTGGAGAGCCTCACGGCGACAGCACCAGCTTGGACAGAACAGATTTGCAAAGTCGAACGACAGAGATTTGAGATCCATTTGGCGCAGAATGTTTCTCTTCGCTATGAAAGGATCCTTCATTAAGCTCAGCTGTTCTTGGTGGATATTGGCTGTTCCTGCCTGGTCAAAGTGATCTAAGTCTTCATCTTCATCAACGCGTTCCATACTCTGCATGCTGATATCTAGAAGTTGCGTTTCATCAATATCGCGAGCGTCGAAACTGGTGACAACCTGACGAAAGTATCTGGCATACGTCTCCCACAAGCGATACTTGTCATCCTGCGCGTAAGGTCTTGGAGAGAGTCGCCAGACATTCTCGCCGAAAAGGATGCATGCCGCTTCGTCACGGATAGCAGAGTTGACACCGAGCAGAGCGACGCAAGGTTTGTCCTCGGTTTGGAAAGCTTCTCGCTTGACATGAGGATACCCCAGGAAAGCGTCGCGACCATCCTTCCGCACAGGAGGTTGTTGTGATGAAGAGGCCGTGCAATCGCTGACTTTGGACCCTCCTTTGATCTCTTCTTTCTCGTAGTCGTGGCTGGTAGGGAATGGGATTATCTCTCCGTGGTAGAGGAGACAGTGTTCGTAGATCAGATCGCGGACCTCTCTGGGCAGCTTCTCGAATGCAGACATCTTGCTCTATGGCGAGGTCAGTCTTTGAAAACAGCGAGTCTCATCTCCGGGTGCCATACGTACATGGGTTTTTTGGCGGGCAAGTGGTTTCGAGTATCCGCTCCAACGCTCAATGTCCCACCTCAACTGGGATCCCTTGGGCCTATTGATGTGCCGGTTGCGAGAACTTGGTTGGGAAGTCTCTAGTGCTACTATTCCTAAAGTGAGAATAGGGAAAGGCTGTGGCGTGAGCGCAGACTTCCGAGGCTGCCGTTGATGAAACTTGGAGGAGGAAGAGGAGTTGTGACACAAAAGACGGACTACTAGCTCGAGATCACGTGATGCCAAGGTTTTTCTCCACCGAGCTTCAGTTTCAAAAACGTTTCGAAGAATCTTGTGTTGGATCGAATGACATCCTGTTCGGCAGCAGTATGGCAGCGCTATTGCTGTTGTCTATCACCATGGCTTAGATGACTTGATTAAGATGGCTTTTGGGCACCATGCGGCACTTTCAAACCTGTGTGAACAGCGTGGTCTGATGCCTTATTGCAACTGCTTCGTCTCACCAGACAGGCCGAGTTTGGCTCACGATATGAGCAGAGAGTCTAGATTCGCCTCATCCTCCTCTACTGTGTTCTCGTTGCGCTTTATTCTCGCATACGCTGAATAAGATGTCAAGCGATTACAGTCATCTCTTAATCCCTCTTGAAAGAACGCTATGAGCTCTGCAGCATACTATTAAAAGAAGACTAACTCGTTCTATCGCTATTTCTAGATATGAAGATGTCGCTTCGCGCCCTTGAGCAAAGGCCGACCCCGCACTAAGGCACTAGACCTGCAGCTGAGTGCTCTTTCTGATCCCTTCAAATGGCTACCTAAACAACGCCTATCTTTCAACGTCTCTCGAATGTTGAGCACTTGATCTCAAGACCTATATATAATCGATGAAACATGGCAACCGTAACGCTCCCAAAGCGAAACCCACAATCGTGATCGTCGCCGGCGCCTGGCACACCCCAATCTACATCGCCCCCCTTGCAACAGCACCCTCATCGCAATCCTATCCCACTGTCCCTCTCGCCTTACCCACCTCTGGAAATGCCAATAGGGGTCTCATTAACGATGTCGCAATGATCACTTCTCGCTGGGAGGATGTGATTGGTGAACAGGGCAGAGATGTAGTCTTAGTCGTGCATTCGTACGGCGGCATATCCGGAAGTGCTGCCGCTGGGCCTTTCGTACGATCCGTGAGGGAGAAGCAGGGAAAGGATAGCAGTGTAGTTGCGATACTGTCCATGACTTCGCTAGCGATTCCAAAAGACACTTTCTATGCTGCGGGCGACCGGGGGGAAGCATGCGTCGTTTGTGATGGAGGATTTGCCTAGCATACCTTACTCCGAAACTCCACTTGCACGGAATGGCTCAATCTTAATTCCCTGAAACAGGGTCGAATCTGCAACCCCGCAAATCCCCAGGACGTCTTCTTCAACGATATGTCACCACTCGACGCTCAATTCTACGCGTCCTAATTGGTGCCGCGTGCGCTGGCATCCTTTGAGCAAATCATCGCCAATCATTGCTTCAACGACGCGGTGCCGTGTCCTGATCTGCTTTGTGAGAGAGACCATGCGGTCCCGCCGTTTGTGCAGGAGATGAACATCAAGAATATCGGTGAAGGGTGTAAGGGTGGAAAGTGTGATGCTGGGCATAGTCCTGATTTGAATCAGGTTGACTTAGTCATGACTTTGATCAAGGAGATTGCAAGGAAGGACGCTTGATGCGGAGCCAGTGCCAGGTGGATTCCGTCGGACAATTTTAACGTTCTTGGTTTCCCCTTTTTACTGGATTCTCAGTCATATTGCAAACGCCAACGATTGTGTACAGCGCGACTCATGTATCAGAGTTATGTTTGCGTGAGGTTTTTCTTGGACCTGCAATTGGAAAGAGTATGAGAATGGACAGTCTTTTTGGAGGAGACCAAATATTAGCCGCAGTTGGAGTGGTGAAAGTCCTGAGACGAATGCTTGTCTAGTTTCCTTCAAGGCTGAGAGGAGGTGAGTATGGAAGGCAGGCTGAAACCTTGACGCTTCCCACGCTTGATCCAGCCAGAGTTCAATCAAGTTCTGCTGTCTGTTGTTCCAGAGCTTGCACTGTTTCGACTTTTTCGAGCCGCAAGCCAGGACATCAAGAGATGAAGAGGTGCCAGGTCATGAAAGTACACGCAAGGTGAGGGTCAGGAGATAAAGCAATAGGACTTTTGTGGTCTATCCCTAGGTGGTCTTTTCGATTTTCGACGCAGTATACACGCCACTGTGATGAACAGGATATCAGGTTTCCACTCCAATCTCGAAAGTTTCTACCATCCGCATTTTATGGAGTCTTCAACAATTCTACCATAACTCATAGAGTCTACTTCCCTTCTGCCAACATACCATCGTTGGAAAAGGAGCCTGTATTCATCCTGGCTCATCACAGAACTACCTGGTGTCTGGTGCCGAAAAGGTTGCAACACCTGTTCGATGTTGTGAAAGATTATGCGATCGCTCAGCCCAGTGCAGAATCGCACTTTTGCCTCCATATCGTCAACTGCCTCGTCCGCGCCGATGCGGCCCGGCTCTTTCCACAACGTTTGCAGGAACCAGTACGCAGCCGCGTTGTCAGCACCGATCGATAGATCTGCCAGACCACAAAGAAACCATGCCTCCATTTAAGCTACATTGTGCTCGTCGATCGGCGGTAAGCTCAACATTCTTTCGATAATGGGATATGCCAAGTCCAGATCGCCAAGCTTGATACATAGGAAGGCGCACGAGAAGGCCAATTTAGTCCGCAATTGAATATACGATCTGCCTAATTCCCCGTCATATTGGATACGTGTTGAGAAGCCCAGCTGATGAGTTGAGCGGTCAAACCACAAGGTAAAATCATAGCCGCCTTGGTAGCCATAGCGCGCTTCGGAAAGCCGGCCCAACTCTTCCTTTTGACGGGCACGGTCGTGATGTTCGGAGGCTCGATCGATAATTTCCTGAAAATGCTTGAACGGCGACATCATTAGTGTTGCGAGCTCGACGTGCGGTGAATTCCCCTGAGCATCGGAAATCGTTGCGCGGCCGAACCCTCTGGCGTCCTTGAAGGAGTCCAGCAAGCTCTCGTGCCAAGCTCTCTTCACCTTTCCAGCGGTCAGTGCATTTAGATGCACGCGAATATCGAGCCCGCGAACATTGGCGTAAACTGTGAGAATTCTGCAGAGCCGCGGTACTGCGAACGAGGACACCAGAAGATGGATCAGATTGATCCCAGGACCAGACTGTGGGAGCCGTTGTAGGGTCACGGTCGCAGCTGCTACAGGGGCAGTACGGGTGTAAGTGGCTAACGAGACTGGTTTATCTCCAGGGAAGCCTTTCCGACCTGCTACCCACTCATTGCATAGGGCTTCGAGGAGGCTTGGTTCGATTGTGATACACACCCAAGTGTTTCCCTCATAGAAGATTTCGGAAGCTTCCTGATGGAGTTGCTGATTGACGCGTAGAATCGACAGATCAACCTTAAAAAGGTCTCTCTTGTACTTCAAGACGTCCCATCTCTCGATGCGGAGAAGGTGGTCATAAATCTTGTCGCGCAGTTCGCGAGATAAGCTCAGTAGCCCGACGCGCTCGGTTTTCACATCTCGCTGGTGCTTGGCGGGAACTGCAGGCTTGAAAACGTCAGCGACTGAACCAGGATTATTTCGAACCTCTCGTGAGAGCCTTGGTGTGTACGAATTGGCTTACTGCGTCTCTGCTCTCGCCATGAGGCACAGTTTCCGAGTTGTGTCTCCGGTCTCCGTATCCACAATCCGCCATCCTCTCTTTGCGACGTCGAGACGTCAATGCCGACTATGCCAGACACTAGATGGTGAAGGGAAATGCTAAAGATGTGTTGAGACTCAGAAGTGTTGCTACTCTTCTCCAAGTATCATGAATAAAGGTGTAGAGTATGTGATGACTCTCAGCGAGGTGTCGAGGTTGAAATCTGTCAAGATGTTGCTCCCTTAGGTTCGAGTAAGAAATTTTGTGTTGAGAGGGGAGGACTGATCTTCACACTTCGTATTTGACTCAGACTCAGCTAGCCTAGAAGATACATGAGTTTCACAGCTTGCCGCCTGTGTCAGATTGTCCCTCTATTCCCCGGCTAGGCTATTTCAGCCTTGAATCCGAAGCAGGGCGACCAATCCTGGCCATGCGACGATGGGCAGCACGGGGTTGCTACTTCAACACTTTGCTTTGTAACACTTTGCTTCTACTTTAACACTTTGCTTCTAATTCAACACCTTACTTCTACCTCAACACTTGACTCGTGTTATCGCCTGTTAGACTCCGTTTCTTCGATAAATAAGCATTTAGCAGCCTCATCATTCAGCTAGCGGAAACCTGTTTCATGTTGAGGAACCTTCAACGTATCTCGGTTGGCAACCTAAATCTCCCACTCAATAAAGCAGTCTCTTCTTCGGACTCTGCATCCATTGCATATCTCATCTTCCCAGACCCAACGCTCGAGTATGGCACCACATACAGAATCACGGGAAGCGCCACCAGTGTACAGATGTTCTGATCACCACTGGCATTTCATCCCTCACCGCGACGACTACGATCTCTTGACTTCCCCCTGGTACCGTTGGAAAGTAGTAAGTGGCTTGTTCCTCCTCCTTCCAACAACCACCCACCAGCTCCCCAAACAAGCTCGTCAACATCATACTAACAAATTTCCACAACAGCCACAAGAAGAGCAAACTCTGTTTCCCTCTGGTACCCAAGTTTACGTAAAAGGCGGCGGTGATGGGCCCTTTATCGTCAAACGCAAGATGCTCAGCGGGTTCTACGCCTTGCAGACAAGATTACCGGATAATCGCACGGCGACACATTGTTGTATGGGAAGGTACAACGTCGAGGATTACAGGTTGTGGCGGGAAGAGGAACTCAGTCGAGCGCCATGGGGTCGCAAGAAGGAGGAGATGCCACCAGCGTACGAGGCCTCGTCATCGTCCTCATCGGGACCTCCAGGGTATTACCTCGCCCGGAGTTAGAACAGATCTACGGACTCAAGCTAACATGACGGGATACAGGTACGATGATCATAAGACAACTTCTACCAAGAACTAGGGAAATCGTCGAGGCTCTCGGAAGACTAGATGGACGGCAGTGAAACAGCAGTGTTGATTTGTGGGGTACAAGCATGCGAGATCGAATACCAGTCCTAGCAGTCTGTTGAACATCATGCTGCACTGATTGCACTCGTACCATGTGTCCCCGTCCCGATCATGAGTGTTGCGTCACACCAGTGAATACCCGACTCCCATAGTTAAAGACGATACCAATGAGATATACGCTTATTTATGGGGCACTAACGCCCTTCTCATGGGCATAAGTTTGCAGTAGTAGCATTCAGTAGAAGACAAGTGAATGTGGCAAAAGTCATGCATAGGGGCGGAAGTCCTGAATGAAATCCTACGGTCCAGCCAGAAAAAAGTGACCCTGCCCACGCACTTTTCCTAAAAACATTCGTCGACCTGCAAGGGAACTGGTTGTTAAAACCCTCCATTTCAGGTGCGATGCCAGAAGAGGTTGACCCTGTCCACCGGGTTTCCCCTAAAAAGTCAACATTTTACGCTTAAGTAGAATTCACATCAACTTTCGCTTAATGAGCGTTGTGATTGGCTGAGATAGCCGAGTATTTAACGGGTAGTACGAGAACGTCTTGGCTAAAGCGCCAAGAACCCTTGAGACGAGGCCAGTCATCACAGAGGTATGTTGCTAGATGTGATTCACCATGAATTACTCCTGATGAAAATGTAGACCAACGTCCGGACACGCGAGGCAAGAAAGTAAGAGAATGATCAAAATGATTATCGGAAGCAATACGCTCTCCTAACGATGGGAGAATCCCGCTGTCAAATGTGACTCGCGAGAGCTGCTTACAGCAAGCCGGAGCGCGCTGTTGCATCCCAACTCGAAGTTCCATAGACCATGCTCTTTTCATTATTCGGTGTGTGTGCGTCAACCAAGATCATACATTTATGATTCCTTTTATCGTGTATCGCCTTTCTTGAAGTCTGTGAAGACATGACCTAGTATATCGTAAGTGAATTGGGAAGGAAACAGAGCCGGCATCTCTTAAAGACTCGTCCTCACGGCCCTTGCCATCGCCCAAGGTAGTATCCTCAATTGACCTTCTCACGGTCTCGTGCTGTGGGGCGTGCTGGAAAGTTCAAGTTAGGGTTAGGGCTATTTAAGGTTCGTTGAAAGGGCAGTTCCTTTCTTCACGCATCTTGTTCATCTCAAGCTTGAAGAGGAACCTCTAAGATGCCTGGCAGCCCGTCAGCATCATCGATTCCAAGAATTTTACTCTACCCGACATCAAAATCCGACCGCCCTGTGCAACACAGACGCAAAGCAGCGTCAGCACACAGGCCCAAGGGCAAACATCAGCAGGCCAGACGACTGTATTCCTGTCGCCATGCAAAGCAAGGGCCAAATTCTGTATCTTTTTGCGAAGCTTGAATCGGGACTGGCAGTGTCAAGTGTTGTAGAAGCGGTACTGACAAGGGTGAGACTGGCGTCAGTGAATTCTCCCGTCAGTGTCACCACTTCTTCTTCTTCTACTCCTTTGGTGTCACTAGTCTTGGTTCTAAGATCTTACATTTCTCCTGTACTACCTAGTATGGTTCTTTCCACTCAGCAATGTAAGCTTTACCCAAGCTTACAATAGGCCGATATCTTTTCCATATCATGTTTTTCAAATTTACGTAATTCTTTATGCAGGAATCGAGTACGATGCGCCGGCACCATTGCGGAAGCATTTGTCTCTTAGCATTGATTTTTTGGTGGTGGTCAGGCAACTTTGGCCAGGGTCGTCAGTCTTGACACCTCGGGGCTTCAGCTTGCTCGATTATGGAGTATGGAGTAAGCTTATGGAGAACCCACCTCCAAGGAAGATGCCCGAGGATCTCCAAGCGTGCCCAAGCTCCCGCATACTCCGCTTACTGTTACCGAAAACATCCCGCTTTCCCTCCCAATCAGGAAACATTTTCTGCACTATTGCACATGTTTATGCAGCTGATCTCGTTTATATGCAGCTTACTCCTTCTAGTTCCTGACCGCTCACAACTCAAATCTCGAAGCCATAATCTTTCACGCCCCAAGCCCCACGCCCAATGGACCTCCCGCATAACAATCAACTATCGTTTCCCAAAATAGGGGCAGTCGCTTCTCGCTTCTGCTTCTCAGCTTGCTTCATGCAGCTTACATGAAATATTCCCCGCGTTGCCAAGCGGGGCAGATGCAGGTATAAAACCATGACCATGTCGCATTGGCTTCCCATCTTTCTCCTGCAGGACCCGCATTGATCGAGACCTGCAAGCACACTTTACAACTGTGACAGCCTGTGACAAGCCAAAATGCACGTCACCTTCATATTGACGGCAGCTGCCAGCCTTATAGTAGTCACACTGGCAGGTACATGCAACCAAGACAATTGTTATAGAGCCCTCGAGCACTATCAAGAATCCACCTCTTCCAGCTTCTGCAAGCAGTACCTGAAAACATCGTACGCTCAACCCTTCCTCCACCACCACCTCGAGACATCAACTAACCACCTCCTCAGCACCAAAACCGCACCAAGCGGCATCGCAACCTGCGGCCCTTCCGTACATACAACCCCCCCTCATACACTCTCTCCCACCCTACTAACCCGCCCCACCAGCGCATCTCCAGCGCCTGCAGCTGCCTAACAACCACCACCCCGCCCCCCATCACCACAACCAGCAGCAGCAGCACCTTCGACACCTCAACCTGCACCCCGCAGTCCATCTCCGCGTGCCCCACCGCCCCCGACCCCTGCTGCGCCTTCATCTGCGCCGAAGCCCAAGTCCCCTTCGACGTCTGCTCGCCCAACAACCGCACCGTCCTGGCCCAATGCTCGCAGTGCTCCTACCCGACCACGACCGCCACCCCGCCCAAGAAGACGACGACGGCAACCTCGGCCCCCAAGACGACGACGACGACCGCGCCGCCCAAGACGACGCTGAGCAGCAGCGTGGCCACGACGGCGCCGGCGAGCTTCCCCTTCCCGACGTCGACGTGCACGGGCAGGCTGCTGAGCATTGCGGGGTGTCCGACGCCGTATGATCACTGCTGCCAGTATGTGTGCGAGGAGGCGCAGGTGCCGTATGATGTGTGCTCGTTGACGAACGGGAGTGGGGAGTATGCTGTGTGTTCGAGCTGTCCCTCGCCGACGCCGACTTGATTTTCTGTTTTCTTTCTTCGATTTCCAAGCTTTCTTGGGACGTGTACGCGAAGGCTCGGATTTGTGCCGGGTGGTGGTCGTCTGAGATTGTAAAAGAAATGATGATAGGGTTGGTAATGAAATTGGATGACGCTCGTATCTGAAAGTCTCGACGAATTCGTGCACATGAGCGAAGAATCCACACACAGGCTCCCTCTCGCAGAACCTTCCATTTACGTGCCAACTACTTTCGCCACCTCCTACCCTCCTAATCAGCTCAGTCCCGTCTCCAAAGCACACTCAGGACCCAGAACAGCCTCACTCCGCTCTGCTCTCCTCGGCAAATAGAATGCATTCCCCAGTACAGGGAAAGATATCTGTATGGTATGCGACGCTGATCAACCAGGCAGCATCTCATCATCTACCCATCCATCCACAAAACGCAACACTCACGTCGTGCGAATTCAGCATCCCAAATGGCAGACTTCAAACAACCATCTCTGATGGAACAGGGTCTTCTTGAAGCTGTTCCTCCCTCCTACGCACCGTTTTCTCATTTCCATCTCCCGTATCTTCTTCCCTTCCCGCTTTGTCCCAGATGCCGCTTTTCTCAAATCCGCTTCCCACACATTCCTAATCCTATCCATTCATCCATCCATCCATCCATCACCTTTTCCCCCTTCCCTCTTCCCTCCCCACAACACACCACACCACACACGATCGTTCCCATCCGCCTACCGCATTATCCACGGGAAGAAAAATGCGTAGCTGGAATGGCTCATAGGTACACCCCAGAAGAGCGATTTGATTATCCAATTGTTCCAATTTTTCTATCCGTGTTTGTTGAGGCTCGAACGATCCAAGTCCGGAAAGGCGGGCGAGTATAGATATGTGAGAAAGAAGAAGAAGAAGAAGAAGACGAAGAAGAGAATGCCAAAACCACGGAGCGTAGCCGTGCCGTGGTGACCCAGAAAACCGAAAAGGGAAGATGTTAAGCTGGAGCTCGAGCTCGAGCCAGAGGGGCTGCTACTGGTAGGTAGGGGAAGCGGGTGCTATAAGATAGCAAGCACATATACATGAACAAATAAATAAAGAAATAAAGAAGAAAGAAGAAGAATACGAAAATCGTAAACACTACACCTCCATTCCCAGCATCTCCTTCCCCCAAACCAGAACCGCCGCCCACGTTTTCGAAAAAAAGGTCCCAATAGCCTCATTGGTGTTCAACCCAGAACTCCTCTCTCATCCAAGGCCGTCCTGCGAAGCTGTTTGCTATCCAGAAATGCAAACGCAAATGCCTGACGCACAGCTTCGCTATCGGATCGCCGAGCCTTTCTTTTCTTTTGCTCAATCTATTGAAAAGGGACAATACATGCACAGAGTTCTCAAACTACTAGCGTGAAGCACCTGATACTATCTAAATATGATTTGAAGATGAGCGAGTAGAATAGTAAGGTTTCATTAAGATATCGTTAAAATAGTAAGAATGCATAAAATAAAGAAATAGAATAACTTCATAACGTCTTGCAACCGCGCTCATACTCGCTCATGTATAGTAAGCGTTTTGAGTCTTCAGACCCAACGGAAGGGGAGATGTCAGGCAGCTACAACAAGTCACCATTCTCGAGAGAAGTCAGTCTCGCAGTGCCCCGGATGCTGCATGCCTGCATCAACAAAACAGCCCAGATGGCAGCCGCCACAGTCCCTCCACCATTCCCCCAGCCTCGGGGCTACCGGAAAGGGCAAGTCCATCACATCAGAATCTTTTTTCCTTCTCACTTCTCCATGCGTCATCTTTCGGCACCGCCGCAACGTTTTCGACGCAACGCGCTGCTAACCCGATTCATCCTCGGCGCAACCGCCAAGCCTTTCTGCGCGACACAGCCCTACGCTAAGCTGTTTCGGGGATGCACCTCGCGAAGCTGACGGAGATGAGATAAATACCAGTCTCTCTCGCTGTAGCTACATGCTTCCAAAGCTTGCGGCAGACGCTCCAGACGTAATGGCTACGAGGTGTGATACTTATGGGGGCAAGGTTGCGCCGGGGGGAAATGGCGGTGCAGATGGAAATCTGCTGCCCTTCCTGATATATATATTCGACATCCCTCGCGCAAAACGGAGGAGCTTCACAGAATCAGATTTCCTCGCATTCGTTCGACCTTCTCACAAGAACAGCTCACATCACCGAAACCGAAGCCAAAACAAACAGCCACCAACAACGCCCACGTACCTTGACAGCGCCCAACATCTTCCACAATGCCCTCCCCTTCCGAATCCCTCGACATCGCCGAATTGGCCATTTACCTGCCTCTTCTATCCCTTACGCTTTTCGTCGTCTTCCGCCATGGTATACATCGCCAATCAGGCTGGATCTACCTCGCCATATTCTGCCTCATTCGGATCATTGGCGCTGCTCTAGGCATCGCAGCAGAGAAGAAGCCGAGCAAAGTCAGTGATCTGGAGTGGAGCGCGATATTGGGCAGCGTTGGGATAAGTCCGCTGCTATTGGCAAGTTTGGGGTTGTTGAAGAGGATGTGAGTGTCATGCCTGGGAGCAGAGATTGTCTAGCAGAGGCTCACAGGATGGCAACAGAACCGATGAGACCACCAAAAGGGTTCCAACGGAAGGTGCGATCCAGGAACGGAGCCGATTCGAGACTGTGGTATCTTATACCATTCTAGGCAGGATGTAAGTCGATCCTTCGAGATGTCAACGTAGCCGTCTAGAGGAAAGCAAGACTGAATTTTCTCCTCCAGATTCGGCAGACTCGGTGTGCATCAGTTTGCGACATCCTACCGCAGCCGCTTCCTCCAGCTTCTACAGATCCCTGCCGCAATCGCGCTCATCATCTGCATTGTTGGTGGCTCCGACTTGACCGACAGCTCAATTTCCGAACAGAGCACAGGAAAGAGTCTGATCAAAGCCGGCCTCATCATCTTCCTGATCATCTATATCTGCCTCTTTCTCCTCATTGCCAAGAGCGCAAGCCAAATCAACGGCCTTCCCTCTGGGGAGAAGCGAGTTCTATCAGCATTAATAGTAGCGCTGCCACTCCTCGGTGTTCGCATCCTCTTCAGTCTCCTCGCATACTTCTCGACAATTTCGACATTCTCCCCAATCAACGGAAATGTTCTTGTACGAGCATTCATGGCAATCTTCGAGGAGATCCTGATAGTCATCGTGTATATCTTGGCTGGCATTTTGGTGCCTAAGTTTGGCAACGCGAAAATGGACGACACCAATTTCGAGATTCAGCATCTGGAAACGAGAGCGAGCACGCCAGCTCGGCACGCTCCACAGCAGGGTTCTCGGGTCGTGGTCTGAGGCAGACTTTGAGCTACACTCCCAGTAGTGATCATCGGAAGAATCGACAGTCTCCCAGCCGTCCGTTTCCTCGCATGCCATTGCTGTCCATGGCTTTGGTCGAACTGGAATGGGCCCGAACTCGGGCTCTAGAAAGCATTGCAATCCATGTTGAAGATAGTGCTTGTGGATAGCACGTCGGCGGAAATTTTATGGTCTTAGTTGCTTCTGGTTTGAAACGATAGAGTCGAGGCTCAGATTGCTTGTCCTGACCGGTGTCCCCGCATCGGATGACTCGATGCCTCATTTGTCAGTACCATAGAATGCATAGAAATCCCGAGACATTCCTAGATCCGAATCGCATTAGTCTGGGCCTGGGTTCTCATACCCAGACCTACCAGATGAATATAGCACGCGCTTAGTTGCCTTTTTGCGGGAATCACCATTCATCAAGCACCTCGTCTGCGCGCGCTGTCTCGAATTTATCCCACGCCGTGATCTCTCTTTTGGTTCTTAAAACATTAGCCAAAGACTCGGCTTGTTTGATGCCCATGAGCCGTCCAATCAGTGCAAGCCGGGTAATGATCCAAGCACGTATTCCGGTAAGACATTGATCCATCGTTGCAACAAGGTAGAAAGGCCATAGCAGAGATGCCCCTGCCGCAGCTCTTGGGAGCCGGGACGAGTACACGGACGAGTTTGAGGCTCCCAAGATGAAGGGAGCACTTGCACAAATGTCGTAAGCAAGATTTGCAAGTAGAACCTTGGATTGGCGTCGTTGTGATTGGTCAAGGGCTGGATTCGGCATGGAGTTGCGACTAAGCCAAGTCGTGATCACTTGCTGGGTGAGGATGCGAGCGCAACGGTATACATTCCAGACTGAAAGGGCCCACGTGCCTTTGTAGACGTGATACGTGTTGGAGAAGACATTTTCGGTGTTGGGGCTCTGTTTAATCGAGTAAGAGAAGGCTGGTGGAAGGCTGTTCTTCCAATCTTCCAGATCAGAGTCAATAAAATTCGCCAGTGTGACGACTCCAATGTCGTTGGTTTCTGGTCTATCTACAGCAGCTCGCAGAGCGCAAAGGCGCCCAATTATTTGGATTAGCTGCCTCTCGGGTACCGCCTTCTTGGTTTCACCTTCAGCAGCAATCTCAGCCCATTCGATGACATCCGGAGGGATCATTTGACGCCTTTGGAGGCAGTCGATGAGCTAGATCATAACAGTCAGGTCAAAGCGTTCTATTCATCCTGAAATCAATGGCTTACAATCTGAACAACTAGATTGTCAAAAAGTTTGCGCCCAACCTTTGTTCGCAATTGATCCGTTCCACGTAGGCGCACTAGCGCAGTAGCTCCATTGACGTGGTTGGTCCAAGACCTCATAGACTCAGGATTTGAACATGTGACAGTCTACGCAATGGTCAGAACAGAAAACGGAGAAATCCTTGAGCTAGGACATTACTTCAAACAAACCGAGCAGCATAACAGCCATCAACGTCTGGTCTGTGCTTACTTCTTTCGAATCTTGAATGGAAGCAGTGATGGCACGCAATACCCTCGCATACTTTTGACCCGCCGCGACCATAAGTTCCGGCGCCTGCTTCACGTTCGAGATGCCCGCCAAGCCTATGGCTTCGATGATCTTGGGCAGAGCATTGAAGGAGGAGTCTTGCCGATAGACCGTAGGCAGCACGTCAGAATACGTTGTCAGAGAGGCAGGGTCCGCAGGGACGAAGTTGTGGAAGAAATAGTAGGTAGCCTCGTCTTCTAGTGGAACGGAGAGGGTTCGGATAGTGACCTTTGTGCGTTCTACCATTTGGACAGTTGCAGCGGAGAAATCGATGGCAGGATTCCTGACATCGCCATCTCCCGTGAGTTCTATAGGGCGTATTGGAGATACAGGCATGCTAATCTCCCATTTAGTCCCCGTCTGAGCCTTGGCCACGACTTTGCTGGTCTCATTGCGAAAAACCGCATCCTGCTCGGCCCGGTATCCTGGGCATTCTCTGTGAGCCCTTCGACATTGGCCACAATGCGGTCGAGTTTGGTCACACTGAAATCGTTAGGTGTGCGGGTTTTCTACGGAAAGAAACATGGAGTTGGACTAGAGTCTCTTTTTTTTTCGGAAATCGTATATTCTCGCTTATGCACGCACCTTTGTTCTCTTGGCCCGGCACGGAGCACAGCCCTTGCTAGGTCTGCCGCAGTACACCATTCTGGTGAGGCAAGCGTGACGTTCCTGAGGACAAAGGCCAAAGTGAAAGGCCGTTAGAGCAGATCAAAGAGACGTTTGAAGAAACAGTACTCTCGTTGAAGACAAGGAAGCGAGCTTTGGCGATGAAGATAGAATTCGACGGGCAGCAGCAGCAACCGTCATGGTGTTTTTCCCTGCGTCCTCCTCAGCATCATCATTCGCTTACAGAGGTGATATATAGAAGCAGGACAAGTCATGATGAGAAAAGATATTGCTTTGAGTCATCATGGCTCAGCTCACGATGGTGAGCGGTGGAGATGGATTTCTCAGCTTTGTGCAGACGCCGTTGAGGCTAGCCTGTTTGAGGGTAACCCAATGTAGGAATACCAGAGCGCAGTGCTGTCCGCCGCCTCGAAACCACTCCATTGAAACTTGTGTGCCACCAGAGATAGTAGACGTCACAGCACTCGCAATGGGTAGAAGATATTAATCCTCCATGGAGGCCGGCTCCTCAAGAATCTTGTTACTCCTATCTATGTAGCTTTCACCAGCCAACGTCTTCGAGCCACCATGACTCCGACTGCTCGTTACGCACTGATAGAGTCCCCATGTTTTGTGCTATCCGATAACCTCCCACATGTAACAAATCCATTTTTCCTACTACCCCTCGTACCATCTCCACCACTACTCCACTCCCACCATCAGTATATATAACAGAATAAGGTAGGGCTGAGCTTGAAAACCTTGAATTTGTATGTGCAGCCAATCATAAATTCGGGTTCTCTACGCTTTTTGGTTAGATCGGCTGAGTCATTGCGGGTAGATAAATTAGCGTCCGCAACCATCAAAATATCGCCCTCCCGCGCCTCCCTTATCAAAAAAATAGGTGTACATTATTGACACATAGAATAACTTTTTTGTTTTCTATTAAAATTTTGAGATTCTTTTTTTTAAATTATAGAACGAAATATGGGCTTTTAGATAAAAAAGGAATTCTTAAATTTGGTCTTATAATTATTAAAGCGCAAGGAATTCAAATATCGCTCACCAAAGTTCGCTTATCAAAGTTCGCTCCACAGCCCTGATCAAAAAACAGGTGCACATTATTTGATTTTAGAATAACGTCCATGATCGGATAACGAGAATGACTGGGCTTCGAGAATCTTAGTAAGCATATATAAAACTTAGTAGTCTAACCGCATATAGTATAGATTTATTAGTAAGGGTCTTTCTACAAAATAACAAAGTTTAAATATCTACCCCGCTACCCCTTTATCTCTTCTTCGTCTCTTCTATTACTAGTCTAATATCTAGCTTATAATACTTAATTAAATAATTATAACTTAGAAGAAGTCTTCTAAGACTATTACTCTCGAAATTTATATAACTAAAATAATAGAATTATAATAGAAGAATCCTACTTAGAAACTTAGTAAGCTCGCTATCGAATTTAATATTCTTATATTTTTATTATATACTTATATCTATAGCTGAAAGACTTATATATAAGAATTAAAGCTATAAAAGTATTTTATTTAAGAAGAGAAGAATATTCTAGCTAGCTAATATATGAAATTAATTAAATAAAAATACTTATCTAGAGTAAACGCTCTATATACTATAGTCTTAGAACTTCTTTAGATAAAAATAGAGGATATAGATATACGTATAAATAAACGATAAACGAAACGATTTCTAAAATATAATAGTTAATTGAAAACTATATATAGTAAAGTATTAGATAATAATCGAGCGAAGATTATATATCTCGAAATAATTCGTTATTAATTTAGTCTCCTAGCTAGCGTTATTATTAAATACGAGATTCTTATAGAAAATATCTATAATTTTAATAAGAAAGGGATTTTTATAAGTATAATCTCTAAAGCGAAAGTTATTATAAAAATTAAAGATAAACGTCGATTTAAGATTTAGTTAGAAAATCGAGAATTAGTTATAATTATTAAGGCTATTAACTCTATAAGATAGATTATTTTATTAACTCTTATCTTTAAAAATAAAAATTAATAAAGTAGCTAATAGAAATAGAATTTTATAAATAAAATAAAGATAGCTATTAGTTTATAAAATTAAATAAATTTAAAGCTTACTATAGAGTAGCTAATAGAAGTCTTTAATCCCACTATTAAAGAAGTAATATACGATATTATATATCGACTATTAGTTCTAGATAGTTATAATAGTTATATTACGTAGTAATTCGTTATAGTATATTATACTCGAAGAATTCTTTTCTTATATTTATCTTCTTATACGATATATCTATTAGTAAATATCTAGATATATAGTTACTACTATAATGAGATCTATTATTAAATATAATAGTCTTAATAATATCTAAGAAAGAAGAATATCTATATATAGAGAATATCTTTATATACTTATAACTAGATCGAATAAGTACTAGTAATAGCGAGTATTAAGTCGTTTTAATACTAGTAAAAATAGAAAATAAGGCTATTTATATATTATATTTCTTCTCCGTAACTTCTATAACTGTAATTACTCTCTCTACTATAGTAAGTATAAATTCGATTATAATAGGCGTATTTCTAGTAATACTACGCTAAGACGACTTTCTATTAATTAATATTAGTATCTTATCTTTTCACTTAGCCTTCTAGATTTAATTCTAGATAATTTATATTCACTAGATATTATAGTACGTTATATTCTTTATCCTTTATTATTAAATTAGCTAAATTCTTATCTCCTCTAATTTATAGAATCTCGATAATCTCTCGTTATTTATATAACTATCTCAGATATAGAATATCTATTATTAATCTTTTCTCTTATATTATTTCTAGCTTAATAAGATATTCATATAGAGATTTTAAGTCTATATATATAGAAAGAGATATCTTTCTCTAGAGAGTATTAGAGAAGATTTAATTTAGAGTAAATTTTATAATAGCTATAACGTCGAATCTTAGAGATAATATATAAAGTTCGAAGGCTAATATACTTCTAATAACTCGATAATATTTAATTAATTATTAATAAATAATATTAGCCTTATTCTAAGCGTTAGCTAGGACTATTATATAATTAATTTAAGAAGAGAGATCTTTATTATTAGCGAATAACGAATTCGTAAAAACTATGATTCTTAGAGATGTTATATCTAACTTAATAAATATAAAGCCTCTTTCTTTTATTTATTATAAAAGATAGCGATTTAGATATTAAGTATTCTCATATATAAACTTTATAATCTAGACGATATATAATAAAGCGAATATCGCTTATAACTATAAAATAGTAGCGATATATACTTCTTATACTCGCTAGACGATGTACTATTCTTTTATAAACGATTTTATAAGTAATTAAATCTTCTTCGCTTATCTAAATTAGCTAATTCTTATATTATTCTTGAGAGTAATAACGAATCTATTAAATTCGAGAGATTATTTTAAAGTGAATCTCTTATATAGCTTAGTTAATAGTTTAGCGGCGTATAATTCTTATAATTCCATATTCATAAACTCGGTGATATCGACGATAAAAGAGTTATCGGTTTATAAGTTAATAATTACTATTATATCGTTATTAAATAATAAATAAGTATCGAATATAGACGAGATTATTTTCAGCTTCTTTATATAGTATTTATAATATATCTAAAATTAATAGATATCGAACTTAGTAATTTTATAGAGAGGGAGAATAATACGAAATATTATTCTCGATAATAGTTTTATTTTAGCTAGAATTAAAATAAAGATATCTCTAATTAATTCGAATTAAGATTATATATATATCTAAGTAATATCGCGTAGATATAGAGATAGCTATAAGATAGCTAATAATAAAGCGATAATAAGTTATTAACTAATTCGTTAAATAATAAAGGCCTAAATAAGAATCTTATACTTCTTTAAATTATTAAATACTTATACTACTAATCGCGACTTCTCGAAGACTTTCTCGATACTCTTATTCTTAATTTAATTTATAAAATAACTACTAAATATTCGTGCTTTTATAAAGATATCTTCGATCTTTATAATCTTAAATACCCCCTTTTTAAATAGTTTACTAAATTCTTTTTATCGAAATATCTAGAAATTCGATAAAGATAACTATAGTATAGACTTAGATATATAGATCGTAATATTAATAGAATTTCGAAAATAAGCGAGAATATATTAATATCGAGAAGGGTTATAACGTAGTAAAGCGTCCTAAAAAGAGTCTTAATAATCTTTATTATCGTTATTTTCGTATTAAGTATTATCTAATTATAAAGATTCTTATTCGAGAAGCTTAAGAGACTTAATTAAGGTATCTATTTTTTTTAAATATAGCTTAATAATAATAACTCGAAAATTAGTAGAATTATTTAATAATTCGATAATATATATCTCTCGAGAAGTGACTAGCAATTTATATAGTTTAATCTATTTCTTTTAATACGTTCTCTAGATTAGTATCGAGAAATTAATTAAAATATTATATATTCTTATTATCTAAAAGTCGTTTCGCTAATATAAAGTATTATTAATCTATCTCTTAGCGTAAAGTTTTATAACTTCGATTATTACTATATTAATAGCTTTTACTCTCTTAATAATAGATAAAATTAATATATTATCGTTTATAATATAAGAGAAGATTCTAAAAACTAGTAATATAAGAATAAGATTATTATATTCGACTATATCGTTAATAGCCTTAATAATCATTTATAGATAAATCTTCTTCTTAATATTTTAATTCTCTAGTTTTATAATAATTATCGAATAGGCTTATCTTAATAGAGTATAATATTATTCTATTAGATCGATAGAATTAGCGATTTTAACTAATACGCATTTTATTTAAATACTTAGAGTTCTAGCGTTTTATCTAAACTCGATATTATTAAAATTAATCTTAGCGTTATAAATAATAATATCTAAAGATTTAATATATACGTCTATCTAGTATAGTCTAAGTATATTCTATATATAAAAGATAGTTATATTTATTAATTATCGAGCGACTTAAAATAAAATTTTCTTATTAATAACTTATAGAATTAGACTATTATTAATATAGAGAATATCGATAATAATTATATAGTTAAAATAGATATTATCCTTATTCTTAAATAAGAATTTAAAACGATCTAGAAATTAAGAATACTTTTAATAGAGTATATAGAACTTAATAAT